TGAGTGGGGTGGGGACTTGGAGAACGTTTATGTCTAGCTAAAGGTTTGTAAATGCGCCAATCAGCTCCCTGTGTCTAGCTCAAGGTTTGTAAACACACCAATCAGCACCCTGTATCTAGCTCAGGGTTTGTAAACGCTCCAATCAGTGCTCTGTGTCTAGCTAATCTAGTGGGGACTTGAGGTACTTTTGTGTCTAGCTAAAAGATTGTAAATGCACCAATCAGTGTCTAGCTCAAGGTTTGTAAACGTACCAATCAGCACTCTGCCAAAATGGACCAATCAGCAGGATGTCCGTGGGGTCAGATAAGGGAATAAAAGCAGGCTGCCCCAAGGCAACCCGCTCAGGTCCCCTTCCATACTGTGGAGGGTATGTTCTTTTGTTCCTTAGAATAAATCTTGCTGCTGCTCACCGTTTGGGTCCGTGCCGCCTTTATGAGCTGTAACACTCACTGCGAAGATCTGCAGCTTCACTCCTGAAGCCAGTGAGACCACGAACCCACCAGGAAGAAGGAACAACTCCAGACGCGCTGCCTTTAAGAGCTATAACAGTCACCGCAAAGGTCTGCAGCTTCACTCCTGAGGTCAGCGAGACCAGGAAACCACCAGAAGGAAGAAATTGGGGACGTATCTGAACATCTGAAGGAACAAACTCCGGACATACCATCTTTAAGAACTGTAACACTCACCGTGAGGGTCCACGGCTTCATTCTTGAAGTCAGACCAAGAACCCACCAATTCCAGACACAATATTACAAATTTATACTCAATGAAGAGCAAATAAAAGAGTAGATGTGAATATAATAAACAGACTCAAGGAATTTTTGTTGCTGCAGTTGCTTTTACCATAGCAAGTATTGAAATGAATTATACCAGGTATACTCAAATAAAATAAAGGTTAGAGTAATGTATCGCTATTATAATTGTATTTAATACAAGATTTTAAATTTAGTGAAATTCTTGTCTTCAGTATTCTATTACTGGCCTACATGAGACAAAACTTCTTGGACCAAATCCCAGCATCTTACTGCTC